TAGGGGCCCCCTCTTCTTGTGGGGCCCCCCAGCGCCGCCGCCGCCGCCGCAGCAGCAGCAGCAGCAGCAGCAGCAGCAGCAGCCCGAGGGGCCCCTGAGCAGCAGGGGCCCCCCTTGAGGGGCCCCTAATCACGAGGGGGCCCCCCAGCTTCTACACACGTAGGACCTACCCTTTACGCGCTGCAGCAGCACGTGAGGGGCCCCCTACTGACAGTGCAGCAGGGGGGGCCCCCTACCTTCTACACACCCCCATGGAACCCTCTTCAAAGGGGCCCCGTCAGACCAGCAGCAGCAGCAGCAGCAGCAGCAGCAGCAGCAGGGATGCTGGAGAGCTTGAGGAATGCTTGCAGGTGCTTTCATACGATGACCCTTCGGTAGGGGCCCCCATCAACCCTGCAGGCCTATCGTCATTAGGGGGGCCCCCCTTATATGAGGGGCCCCCCTCTGGATTACTGAGGGTACAGCTGCCGTTGCAGGGGCCCCCAGGAGATGACTATGAAGGCTCTGCTTCTACATTTGGTGAGGGGCCCCCTCCTCTTAAATTCTCTGCATTAAATCGAATTATTCAGGGGGCCCCTTATATGGGGGGCCCCCTGGGTACCCTGGGGGCCCCCCATATAGGGGGCCCCTGGACCCCTGGGGCCCCAGGGCCCCTCCTTTGGGAGGCCCCCTATTGCTGCGGCAACCCTGCAGTTGAACGCGTTAGCGGTGTAATTAGATATTTCAATGCAGCGCCTAGGGGCCCCGAGGGACACGTGAGGGCCCCCCTGAATACCCAGCAGCAGCAGCAGCAGCAGCAGCAGCAGCAGCAGCAGCAAGGGGTGCAGGGGGAGGAAGAGCAGCAGCAGGGAGGAGATGATGCAGAAGCAGCAAGTTATACAAACCGCAGCACCAGTCGCAGCAACCACCGCAGCAACAGCAACAGCAGCAGCAACAGCCGCAGCTGCAGCAGCAGCAGCAACACGGAGGAGCATAAAATAAATACTCGCGCTGCTCAGGGGCCCCTATCCAGCTGGCTCGGCAGCATGGAGGGGCCCCCTATAGGGGCCCCCTCAGGATCTTCTATGGGGGCCCCCTCAGGATCTTCTATGGGGGCCCCCTTGGGGGGCCCCCAGGGGCCCCCAAAGATAGAAGAGGATCCTACTGTTGTGCTGGTTGCCCCCCGTATCCCTACCTATGTGCCGCCTGCTGCAGTATGCAGTTTGCTGCTAGCAAATAGCTGTCCGTTTATTCAAGCGAAGGTTCTAGAGGGGCCCTCTCACTTAGAGTACTTCATGCTGCTGCAAGCAGAGAAGACAGCAGCATTGGGGGCCCTTCAAGCTCTCAGCGGGGTGTTCCTTGGGGGCCCCCTAGGCACATTCTTTGAGCTTCATCTTGTTGCTGAAGTGTCTATACACCTCCAGACATGCAAGGGGGGCCCCCGTACTAGTAATACCCTAGGGGGGGGCCCCCTGGGGGCCCCCTGCCCTATAGATAAAATGATTAACAATCAAAAGAAAGGGGTTAAACCTATACCCTGCTTCCCTGGGCCAATAGGATCTGCAAAGGGGGCCCCCATGGGGGGCCCCCACCAACTCCGAGGCCCTTCGCAACCTGCTGCTGCTGCTGCTGCTGCTGCGGCTGCTGCTGCTGCTGCTGCTGGGGCTGTTGTTCCTGCAACAGCAGCAGCAGCAGGAGGAACAGCAGCAGCAGATGAGACGGAAGAAGGGGGGCCCCCTGGGGGCCCCCCTGGGGGCCCCTCCAGCGAAATGTTTGTCAATCCGCTGCAGCTGCTGCCCTGCTACGACTCGCTGCACTTCTGTGCTGTCTGTCTTGAGAGGCTCACTGTAACAAAGCCCCCTGCTGCTGCTGCTGCTGCTGCTTCTGGGACTGGGGCTGCTGCTGCTGCTGCTGCTGCTGCGACGGCGGGTGCGGTAGCGGGGGACTGTTCGCCGGAAAACTCAGCAGCAGCAACAGCAGCAGCAGCAGCAGCAGCAGGTGAAGTGTGTGTTGTCTCTGAATCTGCATCTGAGGTGTCTCCTTTAGCTGATGCATCCATACCTTTCGCTGTCTCTTCGTCTGGGGCCTCACCCCTTCAAAACACCCAATCCTCTTCTCTCTCTTCTCTATCACGGGGGCCCCCCTTTGAGGCCCCCCCAACAGGGGCCCCCCCAACAGGGGCCCCCCCCACAGGGGCCCCCCTAACAGGGCCCCCCCCCACTGGGTCCCCCCCCAGTGGGGCCCCCACAGGGGCCCCCCCAAGTGGGGGCCCCCTAAGTGGGGTGTGTGTATCATCAAGTGGGGCCCCTTCAGTCGTTTCTTCATTAGCATCGATGATAAACACATCAGAGTTGTCCCCTTCTGCTTCTTCTTCTTCTTCTTCTTCTTCTTCTTCTTCTTCTTCTTCTTCTTCTGCTTCTTCTTCTTCTTCTTCTTCTTCTTCTTCTTCTTCTTCTTCTTCTTCTTCGTCTTCTTCGTCTTCTTCTTTGTTGTGTACAGATATGCCCTTAGCAGTTCTATGCGGTCATTCGTTTCACGTCTCTTGTCTTCAGAAGTGGCGCGATAACTCTTGTCCTGTTTGTCGTTATCAGCAGCACCCTGCTCATCCTTCGTCTTGCTCTGTATGCGGAGACACTACAAATCTACTCGTCTGTCTTGTCTGCGGATTCACTGGCTGTGGGGGCCCCTATAAGGGGCCCCCACACCAACACAATGTGGGGGGGAGCCCCCAAGGGGCCCCACAAGTGGGGGGGCCCCAGGGGGCCCCAAAAGAAGGGGGGCCCCAGGGGGGGCCCCACGGGGGGG